AGTTTAGACAGTGGCTCATATAAGGGTTAGATAAGGGTGAAGAGGGTAATATAAGGGGTATATAGGGATAATGGAAGAGAAAATGGAAACTACTATAGTAGAACAGGGTATGGGGTTTAGGGTTTAGGGTTAGGGGAGCCAGAGGGTTTAGGGTTTAGGGTGGTTTAGTGTTCTCAGTTGATTTTTATGCATGGTTAGGAGAGGAATGGAATAGAACATGGAAACGACTACCTGAATTAGGTTGCAAGGTGTTGGGCTTGATGCTGCTTGCAGGGTGGGGGGTGACCTTGAAAACCTTCGAAACGACCTTGAAAGACATACAGACCCCCAACCCTAAACTCTAAACCCTAAACTTCGTAGCCTGCACGTGCAGTACACCTTTCTCTTCAAGTGCCCAATTGCATCGTATATATTGTATTTAGGGCCTAAGGGGGTTCCTGTATAACTACTGTGCACCTACCCTAAACCCTAAACCCTATAAGTCCTATACCATGTAGCGGCATGGACCCTTTGCGTTATAGGCTTCGAGTGCATGGCTTTGAGCTTTGGATTTAGGGTTTAGGATTTAGGGTTTAGGGTTTAGGATTTAGGGTTTAGGATTTAGGGTTTAGGGTTTAGGCATCTGAGTTTGGGGTATCTAGAGTGACCTGGACTCTCAAAACAAAGCACATGTACAAAACCTTTGAAAGTAAGCTGGTTGCCTTAAATCCTAAACCCTAAACCCTGAACCCTAAACCCTAAACCCTGAATCCTAAACCCTAAACCCTAAACCCTAGACCTTGGGTAGGGCCTTTGAGTTTGGGAAGGCGGAAGGCTTGACCATAAGTTCTCACGTGGCTTAGGGTTTAGGCTTCAGGGTTGAGACTTTAGGGTTTAACCCAAAAGGATCTTGAGTACCTATATGGCAGAAAATAGGGCTTCTCGAATAGGAACCGGAAACATGGTTGCTTAGGTTTTAGGGTCTGGGGCTTATAGGGCTTCCATGACAGGAGTTGGTAATACGATTGTTGTTAGAAGCCCCAATGTACCCCAAACACTAAACCCCTAGCCCTACACCTAAACCCTGGTACTTAGGATTCTTTGCCCTAAGGGTCCGTGTACCATATAAAGAGGTTCTTGGGATTTGGGTAATAATAACTATAGTACCGATTTAGGGTAAGTATATTATTAGGTACTTGGACCCTTAGGGCTGGGTAAGCAGCGGACTTCCTAAGAAGCCTCCCAGAATTCGCTTTTTCTGCCCACACTCTGAGACCTCGATGATGAAACATTCTTTCCGGACTTATTGTCAGGGTTTATCGTCCCCCTTAAGAAGATAGCAGATGGCTTTGGGTACATTATGATAAGATCCCCATAAACCCATATTCTATCTACTTTAGGCGGGCTATAGGGTTTAGGCTCTAAACATTTCGGATTAATTTCTAGGGTTTAGGGCGTATGATTTTTTGAGGGTCCATACTTCGGATACTTCCTTGCTATTCTTGCCGCCTTGCTAATGCAGAAGAGGCCTTTCACACCCACCCGCTAAAACTTATCCACAAAGAGACCATCTCATGATGAGATAGTTATGCTAGCTTCCATACATGGGGAGGGGCCTCAATATACACCCCAAAATATGATATTCCTTATCATATAGTGATCCCCAAGAAGTACCCCCAATGTTGTGGGAAACCACATATTATTGTTTACGGGGTTTCAGTCCGGAGTCTGGATACGTGGCTGTCTGACAAGTCTTCCGAAAGGGTCGTATCTGCCCAGGGCCCAGACTAGTAATGTAGATCCTTTGGAGCCCAAGTATATCATGTATACATACATATATATATGTATGTATACACACACCATAGAGCTACATGGGCCCTTTGGGTTCATCATTGCAGCATTTCGGCTGAGGATGCAAAGCACGATGACCCAGAAGTGCATGTTATGCCGTGTAAAATGGCATAGACAACCAACGACAGTCAACGTTATCTCGCTATCACGTCTTAGAGATGATGCGCGGACCCTGATCTAGGATACATACTACCAGAACATCATGCGCCCCCAAACCCCAGTCCAAGTATTTAGCCCCCTACACATAATTGCTGTTGCATCGGCTTTTAGACGCTCGCGGCACTCCCTAGATAGCGACTTGAAGGTAACATCCATGGCCCTGCGATTGATGCGACGGAAGTCGCTTCCACTGTTTTGCGCACTGTTGATCCATTGCTTCTTGAGGAGCTTGCGGGGTGAGCCATCCTTTGTGGCGCCGAGCAAGCCAGGGACCCCTGCGCCGCAGTGCCACAGATGCCCTGATAGGGCATTTTGCCCAAAGAAGTGGAGGGCAACCTATGGTGTCTCAACCTCCAAGGCTTCCTCCCTTCATGCTGCTCTGGGTTTGTGTCTCCTGGGCAGCGTGAAGCTAGCTAGGTACATTCCGCAGCGGAGCATGTCACGGTTGGCTTCGCTCTGTATGTCGATGGGTGCCCTTCCATCAGTGCTCCAGACTCACGAGGAGCAAACTATTTGTAGGGCCTTCTAGATATCAGTCAGAACTTCGCCATGAGGTGCATGGCATGCGAAAGCAATGCTGGCTCGCAGCGGCACCGAAGTGACCACGTGTTGAATAGTGATTTTCTAAACGGATCCGTCACAAGACCGGTTCCCACTGAACAGTGTTTTTGACGGCTTGCCTCAGACATTGCCGGCCAGCAGGGCAAAAGATTGATGCCGCTGAGTTGCCAACTAGCCTGTGCATTCATGGTTCCCCAGGCAATCAAGAGAATGCAAGACTAGCACCATATAGTCCCCCTCTTAAGTAGATAGAATATGGGGTATATGGGGATCTTAAAATGATACACCCAAAGCTACGTTCTATCTGCTTAAGGGGGACTATAACTGTGGCACATGGATACTAACCGCAAGCTGCAATACTACCCTCGCCAGGAACACACATAGCAACACGAATTGTACCTTGTGCTTCCTTTGTTTGAAAGTGCAGGTTGCGGCGCGGCGCCTTGGCATAGAGGCACAATTTCTGGCCTTGCTCCTCTAACCCACGCGCCCTAGTGTCTGTAGCTCTTTGAAAGGCGGCTATGACGGTTCTCTAAACCTCTAACAAACCCATCAGCGAACTGTACTAAGAAAGACTTGTTCTCGTCCAAAAACACAAGTCGCAAAAAATCCTAACCATAGAGTCGAAGCCATGGTTCAGAGCACTGGGTTTAGGGTTTAGGGTTATTTAGGGTTATTATGGTCCATGGTTTAGGGTATTTAGGGTTTCAGCTTAGGCCAAAGAGTTTGACTTGCAATCAGGGATTCAAGGGGATCAGGGTTGGAGTTTTGACATTTAGCTTTCCAAGTTTAATGGTATGTCACACCTTGTTCGTGGACCTGAGAGATGAGAATGAATGTTTGGGTCTAGGATTTAGGGCTTGAGATTCAGGATTTAGGGTTTAGGCTTCAGGATATAGGGTTTAGGGTTCAGGATATAGGGCTTAGGGTTCAGGATTTAGGGTTTAGGGTTCAGGATATAGGGTTTAGGGTTCAGGATTTAGGGCTTAAGGTTCAGGATTTAGGGTTATAGGGTTCAGGATATAGGGTTCAGGGTTCCAGATTTAGGCTTTATAGGGCTCAGGATTTAGGGCGTGGGGTTTAGTATTGTTATGTGGTTAGGGGTGAGCTAAGGTGGAAGTACGTGACGAGGCAAACCTTAAACCCAAGTCCTCTAAAATGACAGAGAATCCAGTCTTCTGCTGTGTGGAATACGTGTAGACCCTTCGAGCTCCTGCATAGGCCATAATCTAAACTCCTTAATTTTTCCCAGGGTTATATAGGGGATTATATACCGGACTACTATAGGGGTTACTAAGGGGGATACCAGGAGTGTAGACAATGGCTCACAGAATAATCATGCAGCCTCCCCCTAGGACTAGGGGTTCCAGCTCTATAAATAAAAGCTATTACTTTGGGCCCTATGTTTACAAAGAGAAGCTAAATTGGGCAATTTTGTGCCTTCAGGTTAGCTGAAGAGGCAGAGCCTGCTTACGCATCCACGGTCTTGTCTGGAATTGCAGAGGGCTACTCTTGGCGAGGTGTTGTGAGGCAAGGTCTAGGGATGAGGATGATATTCCGCACAGTGGATACTAGAATCCTGCATGACCCCTAAACCCGAATCCCAAAACCCTAAACCCTAAACCCTATAATCCCTAAGCCTATAAGCCCCAAAGAGTCCCATGAAGAAACTGCGCAGTACGAGCTTGACGTTCTCTTGGAGGGCCAGGCCACAACTTTCAACCGGACCTGGCCGTGGCCCTTCCATGGGATGAGGGTTTAGTGATTAGGTTTTAAGGTTTAGGGTTTAGGGATTAGGTTTTAGGGATTAGGAGGGTTTTGGGATTAGGTTTTAGGGATTAGGTGTGCAGGCGGTGTCGCGCGCTCGGGCGTGAAACGCCCCTGGTCGCGTGCTTGCGTTGCCTGTAAG